CTGCTTTTAGTAAGTTTGTGCTAACCCATATTTCAGGGATCTTCCAGATGGGGTGAAAATCAGGCCCTAACTGGTCAACACGAGTTGTAATTGAAAGTGAAGGAAACCCGCACGCATACCAGGTTCAGCATCTATACTGCATTATTAAAAGCTGCCATTTCTACTTACAATAAATAGTACTTCCAGGATGTGACCCATGTAGCAAGTGTGGGGGGAAAAATAGTAGTAGGGGGGAAAATGTATGGAAAGAAGCTAGGAAGGTTGGAATCATATCCAATTTTAAGTGGATAAGGCAGTGACACTCTAGCCAAATGCAGGAACACAGAATGCTTTCTTTAAAAAGCAGCATTCTTTTTAAAATATGGGGGGGGGGAATCCCAACATTCCTGCTGTAGCTTGTTTTCTGGAGCAGTCTCTTTTCTTGGGTCATGAGAAAATAACAGGCGGCTTCCCGCTGAGAGTTGTGACTGAGATATGCATAATCTGCCACCTCTGGTGCCTGCAGAAGGGTTTCTTTTTTAAAAAAAAAATTGAAAGTCACAGATTTTGTTGCTGATTGAATGAAGAAGAACCTTGTGTCACGTGTATAGCAGGGAAAGGAACCTGCTAACAACAGCAGTGAACAAAACAAAGAGCAAATGCTCCATCTGGATAAGTCTTTGGTCTGGGACTCTAAGCCCTTATGAGTTCAACAGGTACACATTACACACCCATGCACACCTACCAAACGGATCTCTTTTCCACACACTGTACACCAAATAAATATATTCCAAAGTCATAGTAAAAGCATATTCCAAAGGTCATCTCAGTCTCCTGATCCCTCACCTCACATGTTCCTTTCACATTTAAGGTAATATTGCTTCTGAACAGTTGAGCTGATACAGCTATAGCCACAGACGATATTTGCTAGCTATTATTTTCTCAAATGCCTCTCTAGGATGCACTACATGGGAGGCCAGAAAATTCTTAGAAATTTTACAACGAATTCTGTTTCTTCTCTATCTGGGGAAAAAAGATGCTTGCTTCTGTCTGCTCTGTATCTCCAATGTCTGCTATAACATTTAGTTCACTCTTCAAATCTTAGTAAATGGGTCACTTGACCCTTGTTGGACAGTAGTGCCAACTCAAGGAGGACCCTCTAGAAATGACCACATTATCCACGAAAGACTTTGCAATTCAGCCCTCCTATATCAAGGTCCCACAGGGACACCTTTTAAAATCTA